CCCCCGTAAATGGTCTTATTGTTAAAGATAGTGCTTTTTCATTTGTTTTACAACAGTCCATCCACTGTGGTTCTACTCTGTTCATGAATATTTGTCAGTCATTGTATGCGGATATAAGACATCATCCTTCCTGTGTTTTAAATATACTAGTAATAGAGAAACAAGAATTATGTTCTATACAATGTTTTCAGCTGTGACATAGCCAGGGTTGTTTCCGGTTCAACTCCGATGATTTATCTTGCATTTGCTTCAAATAAGAGCACATCGAATACATGTTATGTTTGTTGCTGCAGTGAGGGTGGCACGGGGGGGGGGGGGGTCACCCTCCAAAATCAAGCTGAAACCCTTTGTGTTGGCAAAATTTGCCCCTCAAAATGCAGGAAATAGCGTTTCAGAAGGTCTAGATCTCAAAATTGTTAAGGGAGAATGCATGCCCCCCCCCCGTAAGGTCGAGGTTGGTGAGTTCAGTGGTTGAATCACAGTCGCTCTATCAGTGATAGAGGGACTGTGGTTGAATATAGTAAGTCTAACAGCTGTTAACTGGGAGTTATTTTCAATAATTCTAATTTAGTTCACCACCTGAACACATTCTGTTGACATGGGTGTTAGTGCGTGTGTGTCAGGTTGGTTATGGGAGATTTCATAAAATATTTAATTTTCGCTTAGAAGAAAATGTTGGCTGTTTTGTATAAAGTTTGTTTTCGCCGATTTTTTCGCTATGAAGTACGGTAGCCCTGGACCCATGTCGTTGTGTCAAGCGACCGAATATAATAAGCCCACTAACAACGCCATGGATCTAGGGTTAGCAATGACGCAATTATTGTTCTGTTTAGATTGTTCTTCGCACATTAAAAATAAATAGTGTGCACGGGATAAAACTCCACGACACTACCACCATATTACTAAAGTTTGGAAAGTGTGTACCTTGTTTTTAAGAGTTTGGTCTGAGTACTGGACTAATGAAAATGCCGAAAACTGAATAGATTCAACCATTAAACATTTTCATCAGGATTTTAAAAGGCAAATCGTTACTTCATCAAAAACCAATCAAACGGCCTACCTTATATGAAAGAATATTTGCATAATAAGAACGAACGATGAATGTTCTTATCTCTGATTAGTACAAACCGTGACGACAAATTCA